ATAATCTCAAACACCAGTGGCTTCCCAATTGTTGTGGAGAACACCATTGCTGTAGATACCGCAATGGTAGACAAGTTTCATATTATGCATTGTCCTTGATAAGGCACAATTTGGATTATAGATTAAAAACACAAAGTAATAAGACCAAATCCAAATAAATAGTGTGTGACATTTCGGTAACAGCATTGTTACCATCTTCAGACAAAAGTACTGAATGATTCAATTTTGGTAACAACGCTGTTACCAAAACGTCACACACTATCTATTTATTTGGATTTGGTCTTATTACCTTGTGTTTATGTATTGTCCAGTTTTATATAGAAATTCTGTATGAAATTACTGCATCTATGAAGTACATAAATAAAATATTTAGCAAAATTAACTTTATATTCTTTTATACAGTAGAACCTATATGTAAAGGACAACACCTACTTACAGAGATAAAGTGTTTATAATACAATACAATATAATGCGGCTTGTGATTGTAAAACAACATTTGAAAATTATCCTGCGTGTGTTTCTTTTCAACGAAAAATCAAAATCTATTTTTAAGGAGAAATAACGATTATTTCTAACCTTAGAGATAAGGTATGAAAGGATGAATTGGGAAGAGTAATGATAAACGGAAAAATAAAAGTGTCCAGAGATAGGAAAAGTGTCCTTTAGGGAGAGGTGTCATCTTACCGGAGAGTTGCTAAATAGTAAAAATGGCCGTGATAAGGCACAATTTGGATTATAGATTATAAACACAAGGTAATAAGACCAAATCCAAATAAATAAATAGTGTGTGACGTTTCAGTAACAACTTTGATACCATCTTCAGACAAAATTTATGAAAACACATTCAGCATTTTTGTCTGAAGAAGGTAACAATGCTATTACAGAAAGATCACACACTATTTATTTATTTAGATTTGGTCTCTTATTCCCTTGTGTTTATCATTGAATCAAGTTTCAATACCAGGTACCCAGTGAGAAAGTAAAGTTTGGAGAGAAATTACAGTTACCTTCTAAATGGAATACTCGAAAGTAAATGGAAGTTTACATGTACTGTGAGGATCATTGGGAGATTGCTATACTGAAGAGATACATTTTGTAGAATGAAGAGAAGAGTAGACCAAGAAAGGATTGGTTTAATCATCTAATAGAATGGCTGCATATGATTGATAAAGAGCAAGAGGGACAAGCACCAATTCTGTCCTCCCAAGAGAACAGCAATCCTTGATTTCCAGACTTAAGTCTGTTAACTCCGCCTTTGCCCAAGCCCCCAAGCCCGGATGAAAAAGGAGGAGGGGAAGCAGTAACAAGCTCACTAAAAAACCTGGGCTCAGCTGGCCCGGCTGATAGTACCCTGTAAGGGCTCCTAATCCAGGGATACAGGATGAGCAGCGATTGTACTCCATGTTAAGAGCGGCTGCACATGGCGTCTGTAGCTCATGTCTGAGGCGGCCATTTATTCTGGAGCTAAGTCGGCCTGCCACTGAGTGGTGCTCCCAGTCTTAATGACAAAGGCAGACACATTTTACTTCACCCAGTCATGATATCAAACTTTACAAGCTTGATACCCTAATATGATTGAGTGGAGATAAGAAAGAAGAAAAAGAAGAGTCTGTTCATCTATGGACAATAACTTTCCAGGAATGGTTGCAAAGTTTACCCACTATGTACTAAGAGCAATTCTCAACCTGCAACATCAAACCACATCATTGACTGTATTGGCTCATCCATTAATAAGCTCTACTCATCCCTAGAAGACACCATCAAAAGTCTCAAGCTCTACAAGGTTGATACCTTAATATGATATAATGGAGATAAGAAAGAGAAAGAAGATAGAATGGTTTAGAATTAGATGACAAAGAGGTAAAAAATGAATATTGAAGAACAGGGTGAAATGGTGTTTCATCTCAAATTAGTAAAAGTGAGTCCAGAGTGCGTACAGAGAAGCCAAAACCAGCTCATACAACATTTCTTATCTCCCACTTCCTCTTCCCAAACAATCCTTCCTTCAAGAGACCGCAACCGACGCAGTGCCACAAAATGAAACCTCTCCACAACTTTAAAAACTCATTTCTCCCTTCGATTTAGACAATCTCTCTCTTGATCATTATATAATCATATTTATTCATATATATATTTATTCTGTATTTAACCTTATATAATCTTATATGAACTTTGTAATAAATCAGTTTCAATCTCAATCTCTCTCTATTTTGAACACAAAATAATAATATATTATAATTTTTTTCAATTGAACTAACTAAAATTCAACATTGATAAGGCACAATTTGGATTATAGATTATAAACACAAGGTAATAAGACCAAATCCAAATAAATAAATAGTGTGTGATGTTTCGGTAACAGCGTTGTTACCATCTTCAGACAAAAGTACTGAATTCAGTACATTTAGTACTTTTGTCTGAAGATGGTAACAACGCTGTTACCGAAACATCACACACTTTTTTTATTTGGATTTGGTCTTATTACCTTGTGTTTAAAATTCAACACTTACAATAATTCAACCTTTTTTTTTTTTTTAATTCCAACCATTTACCTTTCAAATTACCTCATTCTTTATTCAGCCAACTATAATTCAACACTTCCAGCTATAATTTAACCTTTTTTTTTTTTTCAAATCCCAATCAATTTACAGTTTAACTTCTCTTTTTATCAAAAATCCAAAAAGGGGATCATAATTTTCGGTTGAATTAAGATATGGCACAATTTGGATTATAGATTATAAACACAAGGTAATAAGACCAAATCCAAATAAATAAATAGTGTGTGACGTTTCAGTAACAACGCTGTTACAGAAACGTCACACATTATTTATTTATTTGTATTTGGTCTTATTCCCTTGTGTTCAGTGTTGAATTACAGACAGTTTTAAGATTATTATTTATTCATTGCAACATTCAACTGTCTGTGGACATTCTTTCTAGGACAATTTGTAGCAAACACTTAGTGGTGTTGAAGTAGGTGGTGAATTATAACAATAGTTTAAGTAAGAATGACTGATTGGGGTTAGAAAAAAAATGATGATTGAATTATAGGAAGTGTTATAGTTGGTTGAATACTGGAGGAATAGGATGATGGTTGGGACTTTGAGGTAGAATCAATGAATTGGAATTCCAGACAGGGAGGGGGCGGCAACCTTTTGAGTTAGAAGAGTCAAAAATTACAATTTACAAAATTTCAAATTTTTCAAAGAGCCACATTTTTTTCTTGCCAACAATAAATAGTACTCGCATAAATAAACACAAGGTAATAAGACCCAATCCAAATAAATAAATAGTGTGTGACGTTTCAGTAACAGCGTTGTTACCATCTTCAGACAAAAGTACTGAATGTACTTGGTTTTATTACCTTATGGGGGTCGGTGGAAGGGTGGTCTAAACCGTTGGTTTTCGACCACTACGATCCAGGTTCGATTCGTGTATTGGGCACTTTTTTCTGATTAAAAAAAATGCTCCAATGGCCCCCGATTCTTGCAAAAGTTCAACCCCACCAGCGAGTGCAAGTAATCAAATGGGGCTCTGGCATATTTGTAAGTGCAAAGTTGAACTGCTTTTCACATGTGTAGACATGTGGTGCACTTACAGTAAATGCAGTCGCCTACTTCTACCCACCATGATTATCATGGCCTGTACCAGGTGTACTAAGGATAAGGAAAAAAATAATAATATACAAAATTTCAAATAGTCACAAAATTTTTTGCCAACAATAAATAGTATTCGAATAAATAAAGTTTTTATTTAGGCAAGTACAACACACAACTTCACATCCAAAGAGTCACATGGGGCTCGTGAGCCGCAGGTTGCCAACCCCTGGTCTAAGCTATAATGATAGTTTATAGTGTTCCTTGGTCAAGATAGAATCAATGGTTTAATTAAGATAATAACGACACACCTCTTTTTATTAATTGTATAAAGTATTTTTCAGGCTAGCCCTTCCTCAGCAAACTATAACATAAAAAAAGGTAATGAATAGGGAGGTAATCTAAGGATGGATTGGTCTGAAAATCTAAAGTGTGAAAATAGGAAGAGTTGAAGAGACTTGTGAAAAACTGAGTATCATGATATTCAATCATCCGCCTTTGCCAGTCCCAAGCCCGGATGAAAAAGGAGGAGGGAGAGCAGTAACAAGCTCACTAACAAACCTGGGCTCAGCTGGCCCAGCTGATAGTACCCTGTAAGGGCTCCTAATACAGGATGAGCAGTGTTTGTACTCCATGTTAGGAGCAGCTGCACATGGTGTCTGTTCCTCATGTCAGAGGCAGCCATTTCATATTGAAGCTAAGTCAGCCTGCCACTGAGTAGTGTTCCCAGTCTTAATGACAAAGGCAGATGCATTCTACTTCACCCAGTCATGATGGTTGTCAAACAGACACCATCAAGGGTCACAACTCGATACCCTAATATGATTGAGTGGAGATAAGAAAGAAGAAGAATCATGGCTGACTTCAGTGATAGAATTATTATGATGATGACAAAACTAATGGTATATTGTTAGTATTTTAGGTCACAGTTATGTTTGTCTATACTTTGCCTAAAGATACACATGATCTCAGAACAGATGTTGTAATACACTCTGCGAGTCATGCTTAACAAGTTGGCTCATTACCCATTCTTTATTGGATTAATTATTATCCTAATTAAACCATTGATTCTATCTTGACCAAGGATCACTATAAACTATCATTATAGCTTAGACCAGGGGTTGGCAACCTGTGGCTCCCGAGCCACATGCAGCTCTTTGGATGTGATGCTGCGTGTAGTACTGGCATAAATAAAAATTTTATTCATATGAGTACTATATTTATTTATAATACAATATAATGCGGCTTATGATTGTAAAATGGCATTTGAAATTTATCCTGCATTTGTTTCTTTTGAACGAAAAATCAAAATTTATTTTTGAGGAGAAATAACGATTATTTCTAACCTCAGGGATGAAGTATGAAAAGATGAATTGTGAAGAGTATTTACGAACGGAAAAATATGTCCAGGGTAGCCTAGTGGACATGGCATCTGCCCGGTAAGCGGAACACTGTGGGTTCGATTCCCATCCTTTGACACTTTTATTTTTTCGTTTATCATTACTCTTCACAATTCATCTTTTCATACTTCATCCCTGAGGTTAGAAATAATCATTATTTCTCCTCAAAAATAAATTTCGATTTTTCGTTCAAAAGAAACACATGCAGGATAAATTTCAAATGCTGTTTTACTATATTTATAGTTGGTAAGAAAAAAGGTTGTGGCTCTTTAAAAACTTTTGTAATAAATGGTTCGCTTCTTTCATGGGAGATGGCGGCAGCTTTTAGAGAACAGCACATCATGCCGTCACGTGAGAGCGAGCTACACTGATAGAAGTTTGTTTTTCACTTTCCTACAGCCAGCCAGCTAGTTGGGATATTTAAAATATGTTAATTCTGTTATATTATTATTATTTTTTTTGTATTCCAATAAGGAAAGAAACAAGGTAATAAGACCAAATCCAAATAAATAAATAGTGTGTGACGTTTCGGTAACAGCGTTGTTACCATCTTCAGACAAAAGTACTGAATGAGAAATTTTATCACAGCATGTTTTAAATAGCTACAGTTATCAAGTGTGTAAACAAGATAACAGATAAGAAGAAGATATTTATCTGAGAAACACAGAATATTATTCTTAGAATTAAAAGTGGAAAACTCAGATAAATATCTTCTTCTTATCTGTTATCTTGTTTACACACTTGATAACAGTAGCTATTTAAAACATGCTGTGGTAAAATTTATCATTCAGTGTACTTTTGTCTGAAGATGGTAACAACGCTGTTACCGAAACGTCACACACTATTAAATTATTTGGATTAAGATCTTATTTTCTTGTATTATAATTAATAAATTAAAAAATGTCACAATGGCTCCTGATTCTTGCAAAAGTACAACCCCACCAGCGAGTATAAGTAACCAAATTGGGCTCTGGAATACTTGTAAGTGCAAAAGTCAAGCTGATTTTCACATGTGTAGACATGTGGGGCACTTACAGTAACCCTTCTACCCACCATGATTATCATGGCTTGTACCACGTGTACTAGGGATAATAAAAAGTTTTTATATTATGAACTTGTCTATTATCTTGTTTAGGAGAAGGTTGCTTATCTATTCCTGTAATTGTTTCCAAGGACCATGTCCTTTTCTTCAAGCTAAGTTCTAGAAGGAGGTGTAGGAATTCTGTCTTAAATATCCTCGTTAACTTGGGACCCTCTATATAGCACACAATTATAAGCTTATATTTAATAAACACAAGGTAATAAGACCAAATCCAAATAAATAGTGTGTGACGTTTCAGTAACAGCATTGTTACCATGTTGTTACGCTGTTACCAAAACGTCACACACTATTTATTTATTTGGATTTGGTCTTATTACCTTGTGTTTATTAAATATAATCCAAATTGTGCCTTATCAAGCTTATATTTAATACTAATGATAAGACACAATTTGGATTATAGATTATAGACACAAGGTAATAAGACCAAATAAATAAATAGTGTGTGATATTTCGGTAACAGCATTTCGGATTCAGCACTTTTGTCTGAAGATGGTAACAACGCTGTTACCGAAACATCACACACTATTTATTTATTTGGATTTGGTCTTATTACCTTGTATTTTTAATACTACCTTTCTTCTAAAATATATATATATTTTTTAAATAGTGCAGACTGTGCACTTTGTATGTATTGACAAGATGTCAATAAAATTATTTTAATTGTCAATAGTCTAAAATATACATGATTAAAATTAATTTCTACAGCCCTTATTCCGCAATGAATAAAAATTGAAAGAAAGGCTCATCAGTCGTGAACCCTCCCAGTGATTTCGCAATTTTAATCTACAGACCACCTCATCATTGTATTGGATTAGTTCAAGTTTCAAAAAAACTTCATTAGGTACAGCTCAAAAAGAGAAACCTAGTTTATGTTATTTACAATGAAAAATATGAACAGGTTCTTAACGAAAAAACAAAGTGTACAATGCGCAGGATTCGATCCCGGTTCATGGCTGTCGGGAATTGAGTAAAACCATCAATTCCCAACAGCCATGAACTTGGATAGAATCCTGCGCATTGTACACTTTGTTTTTCGTCCACCGACTTCTATTGTATTGGACTGCCTGGTTCAAACTCACATTAATAGGTACCGCTCAACAAGAGCAACCTAGTTCATGATAATTGAAACAGTGAATAATATGTGTGTGAAGGTTATTCACATATTAAACAAAATTTTAACGTGGGATTCAATCCCGGTTCATGACTGTCGGGAATCGAGGGTGTTACCCTCTTGTCCACCGACTTCTATTATATTGATCTGAGTATCTTATATACCCTGAACTTGCTTTTTAATAAATGTAAATTGGTGTTTTGAACAAACTATGAACATTCAGTATTTTTGTCTGATGATGGTAACAATGCTGTTACCGAAACATCACACACTATTTATTTGGATTTAATCTGAGGCAATAGTTTACTATAAATTTTAGATCATCATTATGTAAGGACCAGTCAACAAGTGAATGACTTTGAGACGAAGAGTAAAGCCAGTTCAATTTCTATGTAAATAACACAAGATGATTATTACCTTACCCAATTGGAGAATCTGTATGGGGCAAGTCCCTAATAAAGGCTTTTGTGTGTGTGTATTTGGATTTGGTCTTATTACCATGTGTTTCTTATCCAAAATATATTATTTTGGAGCTAAGTCAGCCTGCCACTGAGTAGTGCTCCCAGTCTTAATGACAAAGGCAGACACATTCTACTTCACCCAGTCATGATGGTAAGAAAGAAGAAGAAGTACAGATTCTTTACAAATTGAATTGTTTAGTAGCAAGTACCTCCTCCTTTGCCGGTCCCAAGTCCGGATGAAAAAAGGAGGAAGGGGAAGCAGTAAGGAGCTCACTATAAAACCTGGGTTCAGCTGGCCCGGCTGATAGTACCCTGTAAGGGCTCCTGATCCAGGGATACAGGATGAGCAGCATTTGTACTCCATGTTAGGAGGAGCTGTACATGGCGTCTTTTCCTCATGTCAGAGGCGGCCATTTCTTTTGGAGCTAAGTCAGTGGCCTGCCACTGAGTAGTGCTCCTAGTCTTAATGACAAAGGCAGACGCATTCAACTTCACCCAGTCATGATGGTTGTCAAGTCTCAAGCTCTACAAGCTTGATACCCTACTATGATTGAGTTGAGATAAGAAAGAAGAAGCATCTCTGCCCTTCTACAGAAGTATATAAAATGAAACTCCTCTCCAGACTCTTGTATTATTTAATTAAAAAACTTAATCCCCAATATTAGTGATCCTTCAGTCTAACCTTGTTAATTTGCCCAACAATAATTCTGACACTTGCAAAAATCCAACCCCATTTCTTAATTTAAATTTAACAATAGCATTAATAAATTATTGTTTAAATACAACTTTATCACTAAATATGCATTAATGCGACATTCTAAGAATGGTATACTTTTAGGGTTCCCCTTAGAAATCAATTTTCTTCTTATCTGCTATCATGTTCACACACTTGATAACAGTGTTAACTATTGAAGAACCTGCTGTGATATTTTTCCTCATTCACCTTTGTCTGATGATGGTAAAAACGCTGTTACTGAAACATCAAACTATTTATTTGTATTCGGCCTTATTACCTTGGGTTTTTATTTTCTAAATTTATTCACTTCCTTTTCATTGCAATTATTCACTTTAAACTCCGCCTTTGTCGGTCCAAAGCCCGGATGAAAA